CATGATCTCCAAGTCTTCTTTGTGGAAGGACAGGAGGAAAGGCAAACTTAGGCCTGATTCTGTACCCCAGCTGTTTGTCCTTTTGCTTGTAATTGTTTTACTTTAATAGCTGTTTCTTCCAATGCATAGTTTCTGTGGTGTGCCTTCCTCCTTTCAGTGCTTTGGCCAAAATATAGACAGAAATTTCTTGCTCTCTTCTGCAGGACTTGAAATGGCTGGAATTTTCAGAATAGACTTTCTTTTTTTCCAAAAACATTATTTATTTATTTATTTGGATTTTAACATCAGCTTTAATTGTTAATTTGGTCTTCAAATATAAAGTGACTTCCTTCAATGTTGTATATGTAGTAAACAAATCTATTATATGATTAGCTCACACTTCATTACTTTGAAATATTCTAGTTTGTTTAGAACTTGAGCATCAATCATTTGTATATTAAACTATTAACATATAATTACATATTTATGGTTTTACATAGGAATTGGTAGAGATTAATTCTAATATTTTTAAGCAAATAAATCCAACATTATACATTTAAAAATTTGTTACCTCTTCATTGGAGTCGCCTTGAGAGGTTACATCATCTTCCAATAATTCAGCCCTTTTTAAAATATTTCTTTATTGATTAAGGGCAATGGGGGGCAGGATAAGAAATGTATCCTTATCCCCCCCATTGTCCTTCCAACCCCCCACTCATGCCCTCACCCCCTGTTGTCTGTGTCTGTTAGTTAGGCTTATATGCATGCATACAAGTCCTTTGGTTGATTTGTCCTTCTTACCCCTTCCCTCCCCTATCTTCCCTCTGAGGTTTGACAGTCTGATTAATATTTCTCTGTCTCTGGATCTGTTTTGTTCATCAGTTTAAGTTGTTCATTATATTCCATAAATGAGTGAGATCATGTGATATTTATCTTTCTCTGATTGGCTTATTTCTCTTAGCATAGTGTTCTCTAGTTCCATCCATGCTGTTGCAAATGGTAAGAAATCCTTTTTTTTACTGCAGCGTAGTATTCCATTGTGTAGATGTACCACAGTTTTTTAATCCACCCATCTGCTGATGGGCTGTTTCTAAGTGTTAGCTATGGTGAATTGTGCAGCTATGAACATAGGAATGCGTATATCCTTTCTGATTGGTATTTCTAATTTCTTGGGATATGTTCCTAAAAGTTTGATCACTGGGTCAAATGGGAGTTCCATTTTTAATTTTTTGAGGAAACTCCATACTGTTCTCCACAGTGGCTGCACCAGTCTGCATTCCCACCAGCAGTGCATGAGGTTCCTTTTTCTCCACATCCTCGCCAGCACTTGTGGTTTGTTGATGATAGCCATTCTGACAGGTGTGAAATGGTACTGCATTACCAGATATCAAGCTGTATTACGAAGCCACTGTTTTCAAAACAGCCTGGTACTGGCACAAGAACAGACATTTAGACCAATGGAATAGAATAGAGAACCCAGAAACCGACCCAAATCACTATGCTCAATTAATGTTCGACAAAGGAGGCATGAACATACAATGGAGTCAAGACAATCCCTTCAATGAATTATGTTGGGAAAATTGGACACATACATGCAGAATAGACTTTTTTACATAATCATGCTGTCCCTTTTTAGAACCCTCAACTTTACTGGCAACCATTTAATCTTTTCTCCATCACTATAGTTTTGTCTTTTTGAAAAATATAAGTGCAGTTATTTAATATGTAACTTTTTGAGACATTTTCTTTCACTAGGCATAATGTCTTAGAGCTGTGCTTCTTATGGTGTGTAGAAATATTTTGTTCCTTTTTATTGCTACATAGTGTTCCATTTTATTAATTTACTATCTTTTTCTCTCCATTTTTTGGCAATTATGAACAGCAATTGCTGGGTCATATGGTAATGCCTGGAGAGAAATGGAGGTGCGGCTACTGGCCAGACTGGGCGAGAAAGAGAGAAGCAAGTGCTGATCAAAAGCTGCCACAAGGTCAATGGATGGGGAAAATGGTACCAGTACTACTGCCTCAGAAGGATCATGTTATATACTACAAGCCTGATCCCAGGTAGCAGGAATTGCTTTACCATTGCTCTGGTGCCTGCTGAGCCTGCCCTTTGAGTGTGTCATTTGTGGGGTCCTCGGGAGTTGCTCTGATATGGTCTGAAGCTGGCCACCAGGGGCGTTGGTTCTGGAGCCTCTTGGGATATGCAGGCCAAGGTCAGCTGCTGCCTGTACCCTGCCCAATGCCACACGGTATGAGCTAAAAAGTGATCTGTAGATGGTTGCCACTTGTTCTGGGCTCGGAGTTGCCTGTGAACTGAGGCCAGATGCTTCTTGTTTGGGGTTTGTGAACCTTTGAGAGATTTTAGGAAAGCCCATAGCATGAACCAACACAGGCTATTTGTATGGAAAAGCCACTGGAAATGGGCTTGGTGGGCCTTCAAGTTGGGTGGTCAGGTCTCAGGGAATCACCAGGGCTGGCAAAAGAGTGTTAGCTGATTTGAAGGAAACTGGGATATGGTGCCAGCCTGTGCCTCAGGGATAGGGCTCATCAAAGGAACACTGCCAGCATTTCTGTCTGGGAGAAAGCTGTCCCTCCATCCCTTGCCCTGGGGCCAGACTGTTCAAGCTCCTGTTGAGGAGTAAGTTTATCAGCATGTGAGAGTGTTGGCTCTTTAACAGGAACACTTGGGATTCCAGCAACCCTTTGTTTTAGTTGGCCATAATCTCTGCTGGTGTTCACAGCCAGAAGTTGTGAGAACTTCTCTTCCCAGCACTGGATGCCTGGGCTGGGGGCCTAACATGAGGTTGGGATACCTCATTCCTCAGCGGGGATTTCTGAAGCTGAGAGACAACTCTCCCAATTTTTAAGGGCCATATGTAGGTGTGAGACCAACCTAATCTGTGCCTGGGCCCCTCCTATCAGTCTCAATGCAGCTTCTTTTGTATATCCTTAGTGATAGGAATTCTCTTCATGTGCACTTCAGACAGTTTTCAATGATGGTGGTTTTGTAGTTTGGTTGTAATTTTGAAGTGCTCATGGAGGAGTTGAGTACAGCATTTACCTACACCCATCTTGACTGGAAGACTCAAATTAAATTTTGTTTATTATGTAAGTTTAGGGTCCAGGGATAAATCTCCTTCCTCTCCATATAAATATCCATCAGTGCTAGCACCATTTGTTAAAAGACTACATTTTTCTTAATGAATAACCTTGGTTCCTTTGTTGAAAACCATTTAGCATACTTGTGTGGGTTTATTCCCAGACTTTCTATTTTGCTCCATTAGTCTCTATCTCTTTAAGAATATATATATTTTTATTGATTTCAGAGAGGAAGGGAGAGGGAGAGAGAGAGAGAAAGAGAGGGACATCATGAGAGAATCATTGACTGACTGACTGCTGCATGCCCCCTACTGGGGATTGAGCCCACAACCCAGCATGTGCCCTGATTGGGAATTGAAACCATGACCTGGTTCATAGGTTGACACTCAATCACTAAGCCATTCTGGCTGGGCTCTAATTCTACCTTTAAATTTAGTTTCACAGTATCCTGATTGCTGTGGCTTTGTAGTATTCCTTGAAATTAGGTAGCTTAAGTTTTCCAACTTTTTTTTTTTTTTTTTAATGATTGTTTTGGCTATTATAGATTCTTTTTAAAAAAATATATATTTTATTGATTTTTTTACAGGGAGGGAGAGGAATAGAGAAACAGAAACATCCATCAGCTGCCTCTTGCACATCTCCCACTGGGGATGTACCCACAGCCAAGGTACATGGCCCCCCGTCCCCCTTTTTTTAATATATATATATATTTTTTATTTTTATTGATTTTTCACAGAGAGGAAGAGAGAGGGATAGTTACAAACATCAATGAGATATAATCATCAATCAGCTGCCTCTTGCACACCCCCTACTGGGGATGTGCCCGCAACCAAGGTACATGCCCTTGACCAGAATCGAACTTGGTACCTTTCAGTTCCCAGGCCGATGCTCTATCCACTGAGCCAAACCGGTCTCGGCAAATATATTTTTTTTAATTGATTTTTTACAAAGAGAAAGAGAGAGGGATAGAGAGTTAGAAACATCAATGAGAGAGAATCATTGATCAGCTGCTTCTTGCACACCCCCTACCAATGTACATGCCCTTGACCGAATCGAACCTGGGACTTTTCAGTCCACAGGCCGATGCTATATCCACTGAGCCAAACCAGTTAGGGCTATAGATTATTTTTTAAACTTTTTACTTTTAAAAATACTCATGAGAATATGACACTAATAATCTTCTGAGATTGTTTTATTATTTTTCTTCTCAACACATTTTCAAAAAGTATCCAAGTGTTCTGAGAAGATTACCATTTCTTGGAAAGGTGATTTAACTTGACAATTGGTCCTTTCAACTGTCAGACATTTTGTTGAGTTGAGCTTTGATTATGATTATATTCAATACTCATCTGATACTTTGTTGAACTATGTTGAGTTTAACAACAACTGAGCAGAACATATCTTTTCTAAGATTAGGTCATAAACTGTTCTTTATTATTTTAATGATTAAGTAAAGATTTGAGTTGAGTTTCCAAGATATTTTGATTATTAGTGATGGACTTTACATATTAGTGTATTCTATGTCTTTAACATCTTCAGTTTGTATTTTTTCCAGAAATTAACTGAGTTGAGGGGTTTGTCTGTAATAATTGCTTTGTATTTATGGACTAGCAAGGCTTGAATTTTTAAATTTATTTTTTGTAAGAGAACATCTATTTGGTAAATCATAGAGTAACTCCTAGAAGAAATGGGTGTAGGAAACAAGTTCTCGAGGTAAAGGACGGGCCCTTGGAGCTTGGGAGTGGGGAAGCTAATGGTAATTAATGCGCCGGGGGAAGGGAAAGGGAAAGATTTGGCCTGCTCCTGTGAGGGAGAGCCAAGGCTTGAATTCTTAAAAATCGGAAATTTACTTGGGAAGTTGTGTGAATGGTTTTAATAATAAAAATATGTGAACATCTTTAATGTCTTTTCATATCCAGAGGATGCCAGCCCCCATCAGATTGCGGGAGCTGATCCGGACCATCCGGACAGCTCGGACCCAAGCTGAAGAACGAGAAATGATCCAGAAAGAATGTGCTGCAATCCGGTCATCTTTTAGAGAAGAAGACAATACATACCGATGTCGGAATGTGGCAAAATTACTATATATGCACATGCTGGGCTATCCTGCTCACTTTGGACAGGTAGGCTGGGCTGAGATCACATCTAGCAAGGGTACTCTTGTTTGAATGATAGTAGCTCAGAGACTTTAATTCTTTCCTACCAGGGAGGATAGGATTCTTTTGGTAGTTTGTAGTATGATCACTGTGGAACTGAGGGTGGAATTGAGAGAGAAAGCTGCAGACCTAGAAAAGGGTGATATTGCCATCAATTCTTTCCATTGGGAATCTCTTATATTCTAATCTGGATTAGAATATGTTTGATACCCTGTTTCCCCGAAAATAAGACAGTGTCTTATATTAATTTTTTCTCCCAAAGTTGCGCTAGGTCTTATTTTCAGGGGATGTCTTATCTTTCCATGCGCTAGGTCTTATTTTCGGAGGATGTCTTATTTTCGGGGAAACACAGTAGTAGCAGCTAGCTTCCTAAAAATTGACCAGGATTAACCAGTAGATTGTTCTTTGAGAGGGTCTGGACTATAATGAGTATTTAAGAAAGTTTGCTAAATGTGTCCTTAATTATTTTCTTTCTGAACCATATTATGAAAAGGAACTCCCATGACATGTTTTTAAGTAAAAGATATTAGGTGGTTGCCAAATAATGGTATTAAAGATTTTGTCCTAATTACCTCATGGTTGCTTTGATTGCTACAACCACTGTTCTGCAGGTCTGCCTCCTGATCCTCTCTCACACACAAATGCATATTGATATAGCCAGTCTCAGCTTTGAGCATGATATTCTTCATTATAACTGCTTTCTTCTTTTCAGAGAAGGATACAGTGGGTTGCTTTGGAATTCTTATTAGTATTATTAAAATAAAAAAAATTTTTTTGTTAATTCTCACCTGAAGATATTTTTTCCATTGATTTTTTTTTTTTTTTTAAGAGAGAGTGGAAGGAGGTAAGGAGAGAGAGAAAGTCAGAAGGGGCGGGGGAGAGAAAGAAAGAAAGAAAAGAAAAGAAAAAAGAAAAGAAAAGGAAACAAACATAGATGTGAGAGAGACTCATTGATTTCTGAATGGGCCCCTATTGGGGCTGAGAACCTGCAAACAAAGTATGTGACATTGGCTGGGAATCAAGTGGGACCCTGGCTGATGTTCTAACCACTGAGTTACACTGGCCAGGGCAATGCTACTAAATTTTATTTCACTTAATTTTAAGGATTGTATTTTATGATATGTAGTCTTTTTAAGGAAAAGAATGCAAAATTAAATAGAATATGCAACACCAGCTAGAAGGAGAAAAATACTTTTCATATTTCCATTATTCAAAGATAAATATTATTGTTTTGATATGTGTAATGTATTAGGAAACACAACCACCAGTTTATCTTCTATTGAGCTTTATAACTTCAATAGAAGCAGTTTTTCCCAACCCTGAGTTAAAACAAAAAAAATAATGGGATTGAAGATTATTAGAGTGACTTAGGTTAGTTTTATGCTCATCATGGGGCTGGGAATGAATGAGATCAGCCTCTCTAGAGAAACATGATTGAGAATGGAAGAGCATTACTTCACCAAAGGAAATGGAGGTGTTAATAGCAGAAAGGAGGATCAGCTATTAGGCAAAAAGTGCAGTGTTCTATGAATAAAAATGTTATATGCTTTTACTACATCAAAAATTGATTTGGGTAGTTATTCATATGGTGCATGACAGTTAATATAAAGCAAACATTTGTTCGTATATTCTTCTTAATTTATTTTAAGTAGACACATTAGGTTAGATTTACAGAAATCTGATATGCTGTACTATAAAAGTCCTCCACTCAGAGATAATCACTGTTAACATCTTTGATACAGTAGATTTACATACTCCCAAGGGAGTTCTTTGAAGATAAACTCTTGCAGAAACCGGTTTGGCTCAGTGGTAGAGCATCGGTCTATGGACTGAGGATAAACTCTTAAAATCATGGGATAGATTTAAGACGTAGGTGATATTTTATTTTGTAAAAGAGCTCTCTCTATATTTCTAGAATTTACTTCTATAACATGGTATATGCTCTTTAGGTGGCAGTTTGGGGTGTTTTGGAACTTAATTGTTTGATAAAACATTTCTTAGGTGGAAAGAGTTAATAATGTTCAAGGGTAATTGTACTAAATTTTGGAACAAAAAATAAAGATTTTTCTGAGTGGGAATACAAATCATAATTTTAAATTCCTTATTTTGTTTCCTTTATTTGAATAAATCATGGCCCTTTGCATATCAGTAATTTGGTACCCCACCCATAGGAATTTCCTGTATGAAGTACCCATAAAAAGGTTCCTATCTGGAGTCTCTCACTTGCATGTCTGAATCATAGTGCTATTTTCATTTAATTATGTGTAAAAATAGTCACTTTTTAACTGCATTGTATTTGTTAGAACTGTACAATGAACCCGCTGTTCATTATTATGATAGCCACTAGCTGTGTAGCCATTGGTCTTTTGAAATGTGGCTAGTTCAGCTGCGGCAAATGTTAAAGGAAAATAAATTTTGGGGGGAGGGTACTTGATGCAGTTATTGGAAAGGTTTAAAATATGTTTTAGATAATTTGGGCATGTGAACCTTACTTCATCAGTTGTAAATTTTATGAAATACGGCTCAAATATTTTTGATAGATATTTAGAGTACAAATTGAGGCATACTATTAGTATAAAATGCATACTTATTTGAAGCCTTAGTACAAAAGATATAAAATATCTAGTATTTTTTATGTTGATTAAATGTTGAAATAATCAGGACTTTTTTAAAACGCCGAGGGACGTGGGACAAATTGTTAAAAGTCGTGATTGTCCCACCAAAAGTGGGACGTCTGGTCACCTTACCTTAAAGGACTAGTCCAGCTAATAAATGAGGAAGGAATGAAAGAATTATATTGCCATTTTGTAATCCCTGATGATATCACTGCTGCTACTGCCACAGAAGAGAGAACCACCGGAAATAATTATATGTCTTCTGATGAAAGTTCATACCACCACCTATGAAGTGTATTGGCTAAATCAAAACAAAAACTGAAAAACTTGAATCTGATCATGCCTCCTTCTCTGTTTTAAAGAGACATTTTTAAGAGTATTTTGTTGCAGCCTTGTTTCTTACAGGGATACATTAGGAACAATCTATATAGTATCAACAAAAAGAATAGGTAACTTGTGGAATATGAGTGAATTAGAGCTTCTTGTCTGGATGTGAGTAATATTCAAAGATGTTAAGTGAAAACAACAGGAATATGATATTATAGTTACATAAAGTTTAAAATATTAAAAAACAGCCAAAACTGGTTTGGCTCAGTGGATAGAGCATTGGCCTGCGGACTGAAAGGTCCCAGGTTCAATTCTGGTCAAGGGCATGTACCTTGGTTGCAGGCACGTCCCTGGTGGGGGTATGCAGAAGGCAGTTGATCGATGATTCTTTCTCATCGATGTTTCTGACTATCTAGTCCTCTCTCTTCCTCTCTGTAAAAAATCAATAAAATATATTTTAAAAATATTCAAAAACAGTTGTCTTTACATGTATAATAAGGACATGCAGCATGGCAAAAATGAACAAAACTTTTGAGTTTTGATTAGTCCTGGGGTGGAGAGAAGGGAAATGGGATTGAGTGCTTCAATTAAATTTGTAATATTAAAATATTTTAAATTAAATAAATAGGGCATAAAGATTTGATAAAGCTTGTTGGTGAGTTAATGAGTGTTATGTGATTTTTGTGTATTTTTTTAAAATAAATTTTTATTGTTCATATTACAAATGTTCCTTTCCCACCCCCCCTCCATTGTTCTCCTCCACCAGGTTCCCATCCCACCCTCTGCCCTTTTCCCACCCCCCATTGTCCTCATCCATAGGTGCACAATTTATGTTCAGTCTCTTCCCACATCCCTCTCTCCCCTTTTCCCCAAGAATCGTCAATTCACTCCCTTCCATACCTCTGATTCTATTATATTCACCAGTTAATATTGTCCATCAGATTTTTAAAAAAATTTCTCTGGTTTTTAGATTCACTTGTTGATAGTTACGTATTTGTTGTTCATAATTTTTATCTTTATTTACTTTCTCTTCCGAAAGAACCCCCTTCAGCAATTCATATAATTTTGGTTTGGTGGTGATGAACTCCTTTAGCTTTTTTTTTTTTTTTTTTTTTAAATATATTTTATTGATTTTGTACAGAGAGGAAGGGAGAGAGATAGAGAGTTAGAAACATCGATGAGAGAGAGTCATCGATCAGTTGCCTCTTGCACACCCCCTACTGGGGATATGCCCGCAACCAAGGTACATGCCCTTGACCGGAATCGAACCCGGGTCCTTTCAGTCCCCAAGCCGACGCTCTATCCATTGAGCTAAACCAGTTTCGGCTCCTTTAGCTTTTTTTTTTTTATTAGTGAAGCTCATTATTTGGCCTTCGATTCTGAGTGATAGCTTTGCTGGGTAGATTATCTTTGGCTGTAGGTTCATACTATTCATCACCTTGAATATTTCTTGCCATTCCCGTCTGGCCTGCATGGTTTCTGTTGAGAAATCAGCTGACAGTCGTATAGGTGCTTCTTTATAGGTAACTACCTTCTTTGCTCTTGCTGCTTTTAATATTCTCTCTTTGTCTTTTGCTCTTGGAATTTTAATTATGATATGTCTTGGTGTGGTCCTCTTTGGATTCCTTTTGTTTGGAATTCTGTGCACTTCCTGGACTTGTAAGTCTAATTCTTTCACCAGGTGGGGGAAGTTTTCTGTCACTATTTCTTTCAGTATGTTTTCGATATCTTGCTCTCTCTCATCTTCTGGGACCCCCATAATTCTGATGTTGATTCGCTTGAAGTTGTCCCAGAGGTTTCTTACATTATCTTCAATTTTCTGGATTCTCTTGTCTTCTTGCTTCTGCAGAGGAGTGTCTTCTGGCTCTTTATTTTCCAAATCTTTGACTTGATTCTTGCTATCTTCCATTCTGTTTTTAGGACTCTGTATAATATTTTTTATTTCAGACAATGTATTCTTTATTTCTTGTTGATCCCTTATCATTTCTTGTTGATTCCTTATTAATTCTAGTTGATCTCTTTTCA